TAGCAAGTTTGGCGGCTCCGAGCCCGGCGCGCCTCGGAATCGAGGCGCATTTGTTTCCTCCTGGCTTCCGCGCGCCCGCCTTGGCGGGGACCCTCGGGAGCGATGCTGAGGGATGTGATTTTAGTTGTGTGCTTCTGCGTGTGCACCGCCAGGACAGGTAAGTACGGCTGGGGCTGTCGGAGGGATCCGGGGAAGGAGGGTTGGAGACCCGCCGCTGTGCCCAGCGCCCACCTAGGCATGGGAAGACGTGGAGCCGAGCTCCGTGCTGGTCCGCGGAAGGGCGTGGATGGGTCTCTTGGACCTCTTTGCCCCGCTCCAGGTGAAAGGGTGAAAAGTGAGACTCGCAGGCTGGGGAGGCCCCCGAGGAGTGTCCCCTTCCCAGAGGACACGGCCTGGCGGACGCAGGAGTGAGGGGCGCGGCCGGTCCGGCGCACCCTCCTGCTAGCAACCGGCTTCCGGGTCGAAACCCACAGCAGGGCGGGCCCGCGAGCCCCACACCCGTGAACTTGACAGATGCCTTGGAAACCACTTTCCCTACGGCCGGCCGGGCAGGGAAGGGGCAGCGGCAGGAGTCGCATCCGCAGAGAGAGCAATTCCGGCCGGCGGCAGATGCCCGGGCCGGAGAGGGCGCGGCGCAGGGTGAGGTGCTGCGGACCAACCTGGGATTCCGCGATCTCTTCTTGTCCCCTCTTGACTCTCCTCAGGGGAACTCCAGGAGTATTCTTTCTTGGCCCTCCACCCCCCCACCCCCAGGGCAGGACAAACAATTATTAGAGGCAGTTGGAAGTGTGGGGACAATCCCGGGGAGATGTTCTCAAGGTCCAAACCAGTTTTCTCTCGCTATAATTGCATGTTGGGTTGTGGAGGGGAGGCAAGGATAATTGGCGTAATATTCTGAAGTCCCCGCTTCGTCCTGCCTCCAGAGACGCAGTTGTGAGGACTCTAAGTGCACTTCTTTCAGCTACTACTCGCCCCCAGCCCACTTTTCACCCGGGGCTTGGAGACCCGCTCTCAGCCGCTTTCTCCTGGGGACTAGTAGTAGATTTGGAAGGTGTGGGTGCGGTGGGGTGGGGTGGAGCAGGAAATTGACAAAAACAGGACTCTCCGATGCGGGGGTGGAGGGTAGGGGTCGCGAGTTTTTATTCCTAAGCTAGCGGTCGTCGGTACGCGCGGCCGACTTGGCACCCTAGAATCGGTGTGTAGTCATACCCTCTGCTTTTTATCGTTTTCTCTTTTACCACTCTCATTTCCCTTCTCTAGAGGCATAACCTCCTTCCCATGCTAGGCTGCAGGTTTATCCGTAGAGGGCTGGGGAGGGGTGCCCGGCCTTGGTTGGCTCAAAAGTTCCCTCCGTTTGCGCCCTAGGCGCCACTCTTCGGCAGTTAGCCCGGCTGAGAACACAAGAGTTGGGCGTCTAGGAGCTTCCTGCTAGCCCTTTCCATTTTCCCCAGGACTAAGCAGGCAGCAGCTTTCCCTTTGCTTAATGAAAGCACCTCGGGTGTCGACTTCTTCAGGGACAAAAGGAATCCCCATCCCCTTCTTATCTCCATCCGAGACCCCCAGGCTACCAAGACTCAGCCTAGCCTAGAATAGATGCTTCCTGAGTTTAGACCCATCGTGGTGGGTTAGTCTTTTAAAACCAAGAGCGCAGTAGAAGAAACGCGCCCCTCGGAATATCAGGACAGGTGAGGCTAGTGCAGAGCATGGGCTACCAGCTGTGCTCCAAGAACCTGGTGTTGGTGGGAGTCTTACAGAGGAACCGAAGAGAGAGAGAGTAGGTGGGGGAGGGGCAGCCCATGGGGCATTTCACATCCTCAAACGCACATCACTACCAAACACGCCTACATCCTTTGTTCTCATTACTCCTTTGAAAAGGCGGCAAAAAGTGCCTCCATCCGGAGGTGAACTGTGTCTCCAGGGTGTGTTGCTTGCGAAGATCTTTAAGAACATGGTCTTTGCCCCTTACCCACATCGGACGCCTTTAAATCTTGTAAAAATTCTGTTGTGGGGAAGATTCACTCATGTATTCATTCATTCATTAATTCATTCAATGAATAGTTGAGTGTCTTGTTGGGTGCCAGGATTGCTTATGCAGAGGAATGGACTTGGTCCTTGACTTCTGGGAACTCACAGCTTAGCTGAGAATCTAGACAGAAACTGAAAAGCATTTTTATTGTACAGCTCGATGGGGTTGGGGGGAGGAGAGGTGGAAGTATAGGAGTTTGTATTAAGGAAACATGGAGGAGGAATAGTAGGAATGACTTCTGGGGAGGGGTGGTCGGGGAAGGCTTTAATCAGGAGGTGACAGTTGAAAGTGGTGTCTTGAAGGCTTTGCAGATGTTTTCCAGGTGGACAGAGTGGGGAAAGCATTCCAGGTGCAGGGCATGGCTTGTCCAAGGGCAGGGAACCATTGAAGGATTTGCCCATTGGCTGTGGCAGTTGCTTAGGGAGTTTGGGTTTTCTGTGCCACTTGGTACTCCTTGAACACCAGAGGCTACAAATTTCTGCTACAAAAATTATCAGAAGCATCAGAGAGACAGGCGGGAATTATATCTCAATTCTTTCACTTATAATTTCTTACAGCTGGAGGTTCTGATCAGCAATTTTCTCTTTGGTTTTTGCCCAGAAACCATCATCCCCACATCACACATCCATCCTCTTAGGTTGCTAAGGCAGGCTCTTGATTAGTTTATCAGGATCCAAACAGCCGCTCAGAAAGTTTATTTGTCAAGTGGGACAGTTGTTGTCTGGGCTGTTAACAGTCCAAGATGAAATAAACATGTGGTCCACTGAGTGAGCTGCTCAGATATCACTGCCGTTTAATGGAAATGAATAGATGGTATCAGGCACATTTTAATTAAAGCAGCGCTGCAGTGCAGTAGCAGTTACATATGAAAAGATCTAATGATAGGTGTCACAGGAAGCTGCTTAAATTACTCATTGTTCAGAGAACTTGTTTTAAAGAATAAAGCGGAGTCAAGACAGGAGGCGCTCTTCTCCAGTCATTATTTCTGGGCAAAAAATAATTCTGAGATTTCCAGGCCCATCATGAATAATGAATATTTAGAAGGCAGCAATAATAGCAGTAATAACGCATTATGTCCATGAGTTTTCTCCAGTGGCTTGAAAGTGTGAATTGTATAAAACTCAGTGACTGCTTCCCCTTGGCTTTCCAGTTTGTTTTGGTCACTGGGGCAGGGGGTGGAGGGAGCCCCTGGGGCCAAGTGAGTGCCCTTTGCTGCCACCTACTGGACGGAGAGATTTTCTTTTTGAAGCACCTCCCGGGCTTGTTCATTAACTATGAATTGAATAATAGAGCTGCGAACAGAGCCGCCGGCCTCCAGTGATCAGGTGAAATATTGGCTGACTGGGAATAGTCATAGAGCATATTCTTCAAGGATACTGCTTTTGGGGTATTAAGAACCTTTGTAGAAGTCTAGAGACCCAAATCCGGTCAGATGGTTGTGAAATCCTGCTGGTGAATGAGGTCTTGGGACATCTCTCCAGTGTCCTCTTCCCCTGCATGGACCAGGAGAAAAACAGCTGCTCTCATGGACATTGAGCTGGATTAGATTTGAAGTGAGTCAGATCCAGGAGGCTTTGCTTGGGAGTTTAAGCTGGGGACCCTGAAGGTGGATTGAGTGGGCTTTGGACTCAAGCATTCCCTGGGCTGGGCTGAGGAGTAGCCAGTGGCAGGAGCAGCAGCAGGTGTCCTGGGAGATTAGGATGGAGATTCTAATCTCAGAGCCAGGCCTCAAGTGCCTCTGTGACATTGACACACTGCCTTCCAGGTTTTAAAAAAATATTTCCTCCCCAGAAGCTTATCCTGCTTAATTCCAATACCTGGCTCCAGTCATTTGTAGAGCAGTTATGGTGAAGTAGAAATCTTTAATACAGTTTCCTTGAAAAGGGCAGGAGCTCCGTGCTTGGATAAGAAGCAGAAACATTAAAATAAAAGAAATTATTTTTATGGAACAAACACTCTCTTACTACATAAGTTTCAGGCAAACCCATGTAAATGCTACCTTAGTAATTCTGATTCCTTAGGCAGTGGGCAAAGTGCTATCTTTTATACATCCTGCTATTGGCACGAGGCATTTTCATCTTGAAGGGGACCACTTAGAGAAAAGAATGCTGTATCTGGAAGCCTAATTGATTGCTCTTGTTCTGTTTTTATGGGATAGTCTCATCATAAGAACAATGCAATTATCTTAAAGCCAGAGAAGCCCCTTGACTCATGGGATGTAGGGGTGGAAGGAGGAGTCAATATAGATTTAATGTAGATTTCACAAAGCACAGCCAGAGTGACAAGCCCTTGTAGGTCATCTGGGAATCTGGAGGGGCTGGGAAAATGGGGACCACCTGTGCATTTTGTATGATTCCAGTGTAGTTGAGGACCAGGGACCTGGGATGGTCTGGAGAGCTCATCTTACAAAAGACAGATGCAGCCAACCCCATCTGGGCACCAAAATATGTGCTAGGAAGCTTCATACAGTTATCACTGAAACCTCACAAGGCTGGGAGTTGGGTATTATCGTCCCCATTTTCTGGATGAGGGAAATGAGGGTTGGAGAAGCACGGTGATTTTTCCATGGGCGCAGAGTAAGTAGAGGGAAGAGGCAGGACTGACACTGGCTCATAGTTTAGTGTTGTTTCTGCAACACTTTTTGGATTGTGGGTGCCGTGTTCTCACATGGAGATGGGGATCCCAGGACACCACTGGGGTGTTCTGCCAGTTCTGTAGAATCTGCTTGGGTGCATTTTAGGCTCGTGCGGTGGCAGGGTCCCAAGTTTGGAAGATTCAGTCATCTTAAGGATGACCATCATAGTGGGTCTTTAATCCCTGCATTGGGCAGTTACTGCCACAATAACATTGCATAACAAGCCACCGCAAACTCAAAATAACATTTATTTTGTTTCACCCAACTGTCGGTTGGTTTGGTCTTGGCTCACCTGGGCCAGGTTTGGCTGGGTGTGGATTCAGACTCAGGTAGGGTGTCTGCTCCATGTGTCTCAGTCTCCTTGGGGCAGTGCCCCAGCAGGGCCATGTTTGTTTCACTGCGATGCAGAGGTATAAGAGAACAGGCCCCACCTCATAGGCACATCCAGGCCTCTGCCTGTATAACGTTGCTAACATCCCAGTGACCCAGAGAAGTTACATGGCTGGGCTCAAAGTCAGGGGATGGGGAGGTTTACTCCCACTCTAGCGGAAGGATCTGCAAAGCCACACAGCAAAGGGTGTGGATGTGGGAGGGGTCAAAGTTTGAAGCCAA